GTCATGCGCTTAAGTGTTCGATAGAAGCCGGAATGCCCACCAACAGGGGTGCAATGAAGTTCATCGAACGTCTCTTTGCAAAGACTAGAAGTGGCTGGGATGTAAAGTCTATTCTTATAAAACAAAAGACCATTAGAATAATGAAAATGAGGAAAGGAAGTGGGGTTCTTACGCAGTGCAGCAATGATTTCCAAGGACTTGTCATCTGATTCAAGAAGTTGCTAAATGCGTGTAGCAATGGCAGGGACCGGGATGGAAAGAGCAAGAAGGGTGTTGGGACCAGTGTTGCCAAAGCTGCGGGACAATCCATCAGCGGCTATATTCTGTTTGTCGGGTCTATAGATGATCTTATACTGAAATCCTATGAGCTTGTAAAGCCATTTTTCCTGTTCAGGTGTGTGAATGGTTTGACTGAGGAGGTGTTGAAGGCTGTAATGGTATGTCCTAATCAGGAATTCACATCCTAAGAGATAGTGACGCCACTTGTGCACTGCCTCAGTGATGGCAAAAAGTTCTCGAACATAGGTTGAAGCAGAACGAACGCGTGGGGAGAACAACTTGTTGTAGTAAGCTAGTGGATGGTCGTGCTGGGTTAGGACAGCACCCATAGCTTCACCGGAGGCATCAGTTTCAATGCAGAATTGGGCTGAGAAATCTGGTAGTTGCAGCACCGGGGCAGAGGATAAAGCCTTCTTGAGTTTGCAGAATGCATCATCTTGAGCCTCTGTCCAGTGAAAAGAATTCTTGCACAGTAAGGAGGTGAGAGGGGAAGCCAAAGAAGCATAATTACTAATGAAGCGCCGGTAATATCTGGCCAAGCCCAATAAAGCGTGAAGGTCAGTGATGGTGTGAGGTACATGCCAATCCACGATTGCTTATATCTTGGAAGGATCGACAACAACACCATTGACAGAGATGATGTGACCAAGGTAATGGATGGTGTGCTGACCGAATGAGCATTTAGTGACCTTGATGTGTAATTTATTTTGGTCCAAAGTTGAGAAAACAGCCCGTAAGTGAGCTAAATGTGTCTCCCAATCAGAGCTATAAATCAAGATGTCGTCAAAAAAGACGAGTACAAAACGACGCAAATATGGAGCAAAAATGGAGTTCATGGTGGCTTGAAATGTAGAAGGCGCGTTACACAGGCCAAATGGCATAACCTTGAACTCGTAGTGGCCTTCGTGAGTACGAAAGGCAGTGGCTGGGATGGAATCTGGGTGCATCCGTATTTGGTGAAAACCGGACCGCAGGTCAAGTTTGGTGAAGAATTGAGAGCCCCGAAGTTCATCAAAAAGTTCATCAATGGTGGGAATAGGGAAGCAGTCGCGAATTGTAATTGCGTTCAATGCGCGAAAGTCTACACAGAAGCGCCAAGTGCCATCTTTCTTGCGCACAAGAAGGACAGGGGAGCTAAAAGGGTTGAGGCTCGGTTGGATGAGGCCATCTTGAAGCATAGTGCGAACTTGCCGCTCAATTTCTTGCTTTTGGAAGTAAGGGTAGCGGTATGGTTTAACATTGACAGGTTTGGCTTCGGGTGGTAAGAGAATGCGGTGGTCTTGGGTTCGGGAAGGAGGAAGGCCATGAGGTGGTTCTAGAAGATGTTGGTATTGTTGTAGGATTGGGTCAATGTCTTGTGGAATTGTAAGAGGGCTAGAGATACTGGGGGTGATCTGAAGGTGATAAAGGGTGGCAATGGAGGAGGTGGCCAATTGTCGTTTGATAGTGGAGGAGTTGATGGGAGTGGAAGTAGGGGGAATGAAGCCATGCAGTGTCACTGGTTCTGTGTTGATGGTAAATGACAGGGTGAGGAGGCGGTAGTCAAAGGTGACAGGACTCAATTGGCGTAACCATTGTGCTCCTAAGACAATATCGGCACCATGTAACGGTAGGACAAACAAGTCAATGGGAAAAATGTGGTTAGCAAGGTGGACAGGGACAGAAAGACATATTCCTGAGCACTGGAGTGTATCACCATTGCCAACAGTTACATGGAAAGAGTTGGTGGTTTGAATAGGTAGGTGAAGATGATGGGAAATGCGCTCTTGAATGAAATTATGGGTGGAGCCGCCATCCACTAACACTTGAACACTGGTGTCGTTGATGGAACCTTGGAGGCGAAGTGTGCGTGGGGAGTCCTGTCCAGCAAATGCATGAAGGGAGATATCAGGTATATATGTAGAAATTGTGGGTGTAGGGTCAATGTGGGTTTCTGGGTCGATGAGGTCGATAGGTATGTCAGGGAGATCTTCAAGAAGGAGAAGTTTGGAAGGTGTTTTACATTTGTGGCCGCGAGAGAACTGTTCGTCACAGTTAAAGCAAAGTCCTTGCTCTCTGCGAATTTTCATTTCCTCTGGTGTAAGCACCTGGTGGTAAAGAGGGTATGGTCATTGAAGGGGTGTGTGTGTGGGTTGATGTATTGGGTGCAGGTAGTATTTTGGAATGGAAAGAGGTGTTGGTATGTTTGTGGAGGTTGTCTGCTAGTTTCTCCTCTTGGAGCCGTGCAAGGCCTTGTGCTTGGAAAATAGTGGTGGGTTGCAAGGACTGGACTTCTCTGCGTATGGTTGGCTTGAGACCGGAAATAAAATTATGATGGGATCCTTTTCAGCAAAAAGGTTAACCTTATAGAAAGGAAAATAAAATAATGCAGGAGGTAAATCTGACCCCTTTCTATTCAAATTATCCAACTTAAATAACATTTACAAAGAGCAGTTGTAACTGCAGGGAATAGAACGTGGTTACAAGATAACTGATACATAGAATTTAATATAAAATAAAACAGGAAATGGGAAGTTAATGCTGACAACGTGGGACAAATTGAAGACCATTTCTCTAGCCATTGTTGCTGCCCACGTCATGCACATAATCAGAAAAGTAGGAAGGTGCCTTTCGTGTACGAGGTGCCAGTGAAGTTGCTGGGTTTGTATCACTTAACCACTTGTTTATCTAAATAATTGAAAATCTCTTTAACGTTAAACCTATTCGAATTATTTTACATTGCATCAAACAACACCTTACCGTAACGGCTGATAGCGACTATTTCTTGACGAGTGTAGTTTGTTCTTGTAACAAAGTACTCATTTAAATTTAAAAACAAAAATAGTATTTTAAGGATTAAGGGCTTTAGATCAGGGTCCGCAAAACTTGAAACTGGCAATAAAAGTTATTAAATTTCCCAAGGGAATCCGTGGATCTCATTAATATATATATATATATATATATATATATATATATATATATATATATATTAATGAATATTATGATGCACTTAATGTTGTTCCCCCAATCATGTGAAATATAAATATTATGGGCGTTTGTTTCTGCTGGTCCTGCGGAACTTTTATATATATATATATATATATATATGGAGTTATCATTTCTCAAGCTGTCGAAGATAAAGTTATTTCCAGCTACTAAATCATAACCGTACAAAGATGGGTCAATGGTGATAAAGAAAGAGAGAAAAAAAAAGAAATCATCACCATTCAAAGGTGAATCAATTAATATAAGGAAATAAATAAACAAAACGACGTAGTTTTGGGGTGGCCGGAGATAAACTTATCTCAAGTTGTCTGAGAAATATTTTTTCCTTTATATATATATATATATATATATATATATAGGGTTTGCTTTTTCTACAGTCAATGTAGATAACTTATCTACATTGAGCCCAAAACGACGTCGTTTTGAGGCAGAAATCAAAGTATTTTTGTAATTATAATTTATTTTAAGGTTATAATAGTCTTTTTCATTATAATTTATTAAATTTTTAACTCAAAAAGATATAATTTTGGGAGCGAATGTAGATAACTTATCTACATTCACTTTAGAAACATTAAAGTCATATATATATATATATATATATATATATATATATATATATATATATATATAAAAGTTCCGCAGGACCAGCAGAAATAAACGCCCATAATATTTATATTTCACATGGGGGAACAACATTAAATGCATCATAATATATATATATTTCACATGATTCACAAAGGAATAAACAATTGATATATACGTCATTATTAACAAGCCATGGCGTGATTCACCGCTGATTTCCATTTTTTTCTTAAATAAATGACTCAAAAACAACCTTTCATCTTATTCAGATTCATTTCAACGTATAAAAGCATTATACACCACTTAAAACAACCTTTCGTACGTCTTGTTCAAAACCGAATCTTCATGCAAGGGACCTTTTGATTTTTGTTTTTTGAGTAAACATCGGTTCCTGGCAATATCTACGAAATCCTTTTTAGTCCCTGGCAATAAAAAAGGACCAAATTGGTCCCTAAAATTATGAAAAAAGGGTCACGTACTCACGTTAGTCCTTATGTCAACTCTTCCGTCACTAACGTGGCCTTTTTTACATACTGTTAGGGACCAATTTGGTCCTTTTTTATAGCCAGAGACTAAAAAGGATTTTGTAGATATTGCCAGAGACCAAGAAAGATGTTTACTCTTGTTTTTTTTTTTATAATCCAAGAGTTCAAAAACCCTCCTCTTTCTACAGTTTTTTCATGCCTACTTTTTTATTTTACTCCTAATAACCACTAAAACAAATATATTTTACATAAATTAAACTAACATGAACTCGAGATTGAAGACCAAAGAATAAGTGAAGTAATTAAACTAATAAGTAAACTAATATAAATCTAGTCATCATATCGATAAATTCATTTGCAACTTCCTCATGCAAAAAGTAAGAGTTTGACATTTCGTCTACCAAAAGATAGACACACACACACACACGAAAATGTCCACCATGACAAGAAGTGCATGGATGAATTGTTCTACTTTTCATGTAAGTATCACACATACACAGAGTTTCTATCAACCTAACAGCGACTCTATGAGGCCAAAAAATTCAAAACCACTTCTCCCTATGTCATCCTATATATACACACACACACACACACAAACTCCAATCTTTACCATTTCAGTTCAAGCTTAAAACCCAATTTCTAATTAAAAGTGTCATAATAACCTTGATCATGCAAATGGATACACTCCCTCTTCTCCTAACCCTAGCAGCTTCACTATTTGCTTATTTCTTATGGTTCCACCTCTTGGCTCGAACCCTAACCGGTCCAAAAGTGTGGCCATTTGTTGGCAGCCTCCCGGCTCTCTTCATGAACCGGAACCGGGTTCACGAATGGATAGCCGCGAACATAAAACAATCTGGTAGTTCACTAACCTACCAAACATGCAACATCCCTTTCCCTTTCTTGGCTCGTAGGAGAGGGTTCTACACGGTCACAAGCCACCCAAAGAACATCGAGCACATCCTCCGCACCCGGTTCGACAACTACCCGAAAGGACCGAAATGGCAAGCCGGGTTTCACGACTTATTAGGTCAAGGAATCTTCAATAGCGACGGCGAGACATGGCTCATGCAACGCAAAACCGCAGCACTTGAGTTCACAACACGAACCCTAAGACAAGCCATGGCTCGATGGGTGAACCAAACCATAAAGAACCGATTATGGTGCATTCTAGACAAAGCCGAAAAGGAAAATGTTTCAGTTGATTTGCAAGATATTCTTCTACGTTTAACCTTTGATAACATTTGTGGACTCACCTTTGGTAAAGACCCTGAAACCCTTTCACCTGAACTACCTGAAAACTCGTTCTTCGTTGCTTTTGATGCTGCAACTGAAGCCACGTTGCATAGGTTATTATACCCTGATATAGTTTGGAGGGTCGAGAAGGTTCTGAACATTGGTGCAGAGAAGAAGCTGAAGCAGTGTTTGAAGGTTATCGATAGTTACATGAATGATGCCGTTTCTGCTAGATATGAAGCTCCTTCAGATGACTTGTTATCGAGGTTTATAAAGAAGCGCGACGGCGACGGAAAACCCTTCAGCGACGCCGTGCTTCAACGCTTTGCTTTAAACTTTTTGCTCGCCGGAAGGGACACTTCGTCGGTGGCTCTCAGCTGGTTTTTTTGGCTTGTTATGAACCACCCTCACGTGGAGGAGAGGATTTTGGACGAGTTGACAGCGGTTTTGGCTGAGACTCGTGGCGAAGATTGGAGGAGGTGGGTGGAGGAGGTGGTGGACTTCGAGGAAGCTGAGAGGCTTGTTTATCTGAAAGCTGCTTTGGCTGAGACGCTGCGTTTGTATCCCTCCGTGCCGGAGGATTTCAAGTACGCCGTCTCCGATGATGTTTTGCCTGACGGGACGGTGGTTCCGGCAGGTTCGACGATGATGTATTCAATATACTCTGTAGGGAGGATGAAGTGTGTGTGGGGTGAGGATTGCATGGAGTTTAAACCGGAAAGGTGGATTTCGGTTCAAGAAGACAGGTTCCAATTCGAACCGCCAAAGGATGGGTTCAAGTTCGTGGCTTTTAATGCTGGACCGAGGACTTGTTTAGGGAAGGACTTGGCTTACCTTCAGATGAAATCTGTGGCTGCGGCTGTCCTGCTTCGTTACCGGCTGTCTCCGGTTCCCGGTCATCGGGTGGAGCAGAAGATGTCTCTCAGTCTCTTCATGAAACATGGGTTACTTGTGTTCTTGCATCCACGTGAGCTTCAACCATCACGTGTTGCTGCCACCTCTGCATAGGAAGACGGTGGTTTGGTCATAAAGACAAGAGTACGGAGAGCAGTGTTGTCATTTCACCGGGACATAACTTCAATTTATAATTTGTATTGCTAAGTATATACCATTTTATTGCTTTTGGGTGTGTGTTTGTTGTTGGGTATTGGGTGAAAAAATCTAATATATTACGGTTGTGTGTATAATTGACTAATAGGAGTGCTTAGCTAACATGTTTCATGAAAAAAGAAAAAAAAAAAAAAAGTAATTTTAATAGGGGAAAATTATATTTTTAAATTTTTTGTTTACAAACTAACTACATTATGTATTTTTGGGAGTAGACTCGATTAGGAATCTACTCCCAGGAGTACATAGTGTAATTTGGAGCAATAAAAGAAATTACTATTCTCAGCTAAGCTTCACAAAGAGCAATCTCTGGGCAGCTAGTTAAACAATGTTAACCATTATGAACCAGATGAGAGCAGTGAATGACTTAGCACGGTCATCGAATAAAAAGGCATCAATTGAAGTAACTTTAAGAGCAGTCAACGAAATGAAAGTAAGAGCATCAGCTAGTAAAACACAGTTCAGTTATCGTGAGGAAAAGGTTGTGATAGGAATTGAGTTAAGATTAATTTCAGAAAGAAAAAGATCAAGTAGGTGTTACGGGTTCCATGTTTTCATCCCTTTGGTTAACCCTGCTTGGTAGCATATTTTACAAGTGGATTTTGCTCCTTCCCTTGTTTTGCTATAGGTAAGCAGAAGGTAAGGCCTTACTCTCCACGTTACTCCATAGTACTTGGAGTTATATGCAAGGAAACTATGCTGCCTTCTCAAAAGAGCATGGATTCACATGGCAGTGCTCCCCATTCCAGGTGTTTCTCCCTCCTTTCTTCAGGCTAAACTACCCCAGGATTTTGAGAATGCTCCACACGCCTTTGTCAGTGTTTCATCAACCGAGTGGTCCCGGGATGAGGTTGCCAGCCCAAAGGGTTTCACAAAATCAATAAATTAAACCAAAGAGCAACTCAAAATTCATTTATAAAATATGTGTTCCTTACAAAGCTATCCTAAGACAAAAGGGATTACTTCTATGGAACCCTCACCTACTTAGAGGAAGTTAGCTCCTAGTGAGCATTTTTACAAAAAAGAAAACAAAGAGACAACGAGTCCTAGGATGGGTGCTGATGATGCCCTTTATGAGGATTGCTTGTTCCTTTTATAGGGTTCTTCATTTGATCTCATTGTTCCTTTCATCAAGGGTCGTGCTTTGTCTAAATCCTCTCCAATGGTAGCTTTGCTTCTTGCCAGCTTGGCCTTAAATGGAAGTGGTCCCCCTTGCTTTTGGCTCCCTTTGTGAGTAGGAGTATCGGATTCAGGGAGGCACCTCCACTCCTTCTGCTGTAGCTGACGTGGCGGCTCCCCATTGCTCAGCTTCTTTGCTTTCGTACTGTAGCAGAGGCAGCATCTCCACCTTCTCTGCTGGAGCTGACGTGGCGGCTCCCCATTGCTTCCTTTGACTGCTGTTGTACTATAGCAGACTTCTTTTTCCTTTCTGCGCAACACTCCTTCTTCTCTCTTCATTTTGTGGTTCCTTTTGATGGGCCTTAGGTGTCCTGAACAAAGCAAACTAACCCAATAGTCATATGTGAAAAAGATAATGTTAAATTTGCTCCAGGTCTACCTTAATTCCCACTTTCGGCATTGCTCTGGTCCACTATTCAAAACAGTTGCTCTATATGAAAAGAAGAAGGTTGAAGGGGGTGATTTATAACCAAAACATGGGTTTTGTGGAACAATTTACACTTAATGGGCCTCAACTCTTGAGGACTATCAACACCCCAAAACTAGATATTACTCGTCCCGAGTAATCCTTCACAACCAACAGTCTTCTTGTGACAGGCTAATGCTCCTTGAGATTATCGATGAAGAGTTAACTTAACTCCTTCCATTGCTTCATTAGAGCACTCATCTGACTTGTGAGTTTCACCAGCTTCATTGTGTGTGTGAACTCTTCCACTCTTTTAGTCAGTTTCCCACAGAGTTGCTTCCGGATTGAACTTTTTGGCTTGATTTCTTCTCTTACTTTCTAGCTCCCTTCTCTATTTCTTTCTTTTCAGGTCTTTTAACTGGAAGTCAATTACCCTTGTCTTTGCATAGGGCTGACCTTCAACAATATGCTCTTTGAGCGGCTGTTGCTCTCACCTTGATGACTTGAGCTCTTTGAGCGAAATTTTTGGAGCAGAGGAGCTGACCCTTCTTCTTCTTTTTTTTTTTCTTTTTTTTTAAACCAGGGGCAGAGTAATTTACTTAAACAGCCTGAAGTTCTTTCCTTGGTAACTCAATAAGTCCACTGAATAACAGAGTCTCCGATTTTTGGAATGCTGCTTTTTGTGCATGGTGTTGCTCCAAATTAGAGCGATGCCCTATGTTGCTTTGTTAGGAACTGTAAACTCTTTAGGGAATCTCACGGAGCAGAATCCTGGGCAAAAAGAAGCATTGAGTAGATCAGGACACTTAGGACGGTAAACTTAAAAACAATATTTAAAAATAAAACAGGGTGGCGAATCCCTGGTACACCACAGAAGTCATTTATCTAAGAGCAAAGTCAGTAACATTACACCACAAAACTTTCAGGCATTCATTCCAACAGATTTAAACAAGTTAAAAAGGATAGGGAACGAATGAACCTGGGGTCACCATAGCGACCCTTAATGCTCTCCAGTTTCTTGTCTTGCTCCGCTAAACGGAGCAATTGTTATTGCTTCTGGAGGGAAGACATTTGGAAACGGTGGATATGGAGTTTGTCCCTTGAATTTTTCTCCCCAGTTACTGGAGAAGATTTGATCCCGAGCTCGGTAGTACAATCGGAGTTGAATTTCCTCCTCTTTGCTTTTCATCAATTCATCTTTCAAGAGCCCGATCTCCTCCTTCCAGTCTTTCCTGCTTTTTTCGTGGGCTTGCTCCCTTTCTTCCATTTTCTTGTTCATCATCTCTACTGCTTTCACCAGGTCTTTTACCGTGTTTTGCAAGGTTGAGGATCCCTCTCCTTCCTCAATCTTTTTTTTCTGCGGCAGTGGTCCAGCATTTTTTATCTGGTCAAGTTCATTCTGCAGGGCCACCTTTTCTTTGTTGATGAGCAAGCTGGCTTCTTTCAGAGATTGCAGCTCCCTTCCAACTGTGTCTTCTAAGGCTTGCACTTGAGTGGCTAGAAGGTCTGCTCCGAGACCAAACATAGTTTGACATTGAGTCATGTCAGTTGTCTCGACTAGGAACTGCCTTCGTCCACCCCTTGCAGGAGCTCTCTTAAAGGGAAGTTTTTCCCTTCTTGGAGTTTTCTGAGGTTCTTCCTTCACATTCCCCGAAACTTCAGCTTCCTCTTCTTCCTCCTTTCCTTCTTTTTCTTCTTTCTCTTCTTTTTCTTCTTCCTCCTCACTTTCCAATCCTTCATTGTCTCTGATTCTTTTTATCGTGGACTGATCAATGTCCGACCCTTCTGGAATGATTTCATCCGAAATCGGGATGTTGGCCTTTAAACCAGCCCTCTTGCACATTTCAGTGACCAGACAAGGGAAAAAGAAGGGGGAGTTTCTTGGTGCATTTGCCACCAGTTGTTTGTAAACAATCCTCCCAACATCAAACTTCTTCTTAGTCAAGATGCAGAAGACCAGCACTGCTCTTTCCCAGTTCACTCTAGAGTCGTTGCTCACGGGAATCAGACGGGAGTTAATAAAATGCATCCATACCTTTGCTTCGAATTTGAGTTGCTTCCTAGGGATGGATTCCTTAGTTCCCCAGGTTGCTCCCTCTGAGCCTATTTCTCGGAGCACTTCTCCAGTTATGGCCTCATCTCCTCGGCCAGCACAGTATCTATCGAACTCATCTTGTTCAGCAGGAACTGAAGCAGTGTTGTATGCTTCGTTGATTTCTTCAGGGGAGAAGTCTACTTTCACGCCTCTGATGAGGAGTTTTGGAAGATCTTCTTTCTTCATTCCCTCCAAGAATGCAGTCACGAACTCAGTGCGAGCTCTTGAGGGAGGCTCAATGAAGAGTTCCCAATCCAGTTCTGCTATATCCTCGGTCAGCCATCGGTCGAGATCTCCGTGTTTGGAGCTACTGAGGACTATGCCCCGTTCTGGTATGACTGTACGGTCGACTGTGGTTTGCTCAGGTTTGAGCTTTTTCCCTGTTCGGGTCCTCTTCTTGGAGATAGAAGCAACAGGTATAATGGCCTTTGGACGTGTCATGGTGTAATGTTCTGAGTAGGAGGGATGGAGTGGGGAGTAAAGGTTGGATTTTTGTGGGTTGAAGGAGAAAAGATTATGAGAATGAAATAGTAGTTCTGTGTTTATAAAGGAACGAAGGAGAGGATGGGAAGGTTAAAACGCTCTGTATGGTGGTGATCGTGGCTTTGCTGAGTGGCGGATATGGGGTGGAAGAGCGTCTGCTGCACATAAATGCCTGGGGGAAAGCAACTGTCCTCTGCTCTGACGGTTTCTTCTTTTTGAAACTGCTACTCTCGCTTGATTGGAGGGATGTGACAGCACGACGTGGAGCTATTATCCTTCCGTTGCTTCCGCCACTCGGTTTTCTCTCTCTTTTTTCGCATGCGGCCCATTGCAGGCCCTTGGGTTAAAAGGGGCAAGTGGATCAGCCCAATTAGAACTTGGTTTCACATTGAGGGATCAAATTCTAAGTGTTGGTTGCTCCTTGCTTTTGGGATCAGGTTGCTCAAGAGCAACCCCAAAACTAGCTTCCTGCAATGGTTAGCACATTAATTTTCTCAAACAAAGACAATAATAATAAAAAGAACGACGTGGAAATAAATCTGGGTTGTCTCCCAGTAGCGCTTCGTTTATAGTCTTAGCTCGACTTGTTGCTCCTTGAGTCAGACTTCAGCTGGGTCATCGAGATGAGAAGTTAGTTTCTCATGCTCCTTGATCCCTCTATTATACTTCTTGAGTCTGTGTCCATTTACCCTGAGCGTTGCTCCAGATGTTTCATGAGCAATGGCAAATGCTCCATTG